ACTGTTGTGCGTGTGCGTGCGCGCGTGCGTGCGTGCGTGTGTGTGTGTGTGTGTGTGGGTGTGTGTTTGTCTACTAGTCACTCTGTTTGTAAACTCATGCACTGACCGCTTCCTGATAAAAGTAAACATGCACAGGGCATTTGGAACATTTGACCTGCTTGAATTTAATTTTATCTTGCCTAAGGGAAGAAATGTGTATGGTACATACTTGTGCAAAAACATGCATTTTAGGGGATGTGAACACCCTTGAAATTCAGTACTCAATCTTGTCGTTTCAATTACAAAGTGTCTTATATTTCTAAACCGCTACAGTGTTATTATGGCGGCATGGATAAAAAAAACACACATTTAGTAGCGCACTTTGTGGTCCATTCTGCATGTGGTTGTTAGGTTGGCTTTTATTTATGGTTCTATGTAAGCAGTATTAACATTTCAGTTAATCTTGGCTGAAATTCAGCACTGACTGATGTGGGTCAAAGATGAACTCATGTTGATCTAATTTTCCATCACTCCAAAACCAGCCCAGAAAGCACTTTTCCCGTGAGACAGAAGTAGAAGTTGAGATGACAATATCAGGCTTCTTGTTATCTTTTATTTACAGCTGACTCTGTTTTTAGACAGTGGTGCCCACTGACCGTCACATTGAAAATGTCAAATCTCGACTGCTGTCTGTTGACACAAAACAGCTCCGGCTGGTATCTGTCCACAGCAGAGGCGATTGCTCTAAGACCGCAAGGGAAGCTCACCTTCCCCTAAAATGTCAAAAAAATAAGTGATCAAATGTATGTGTGTACATACAATTGTGTGTACAGTACATGTCATTGACTAAATATACAACGCGCTCAACTTTTGTTCCAAATCAGCTTTTTATTACTAGTTACGACGCGACTCTCTTCTCATTCATTCCTGCAGCTTCACTGTGTTTTAAACTATGTGGACGCTGAGCGTCGACCGCGCGGACGCTGGGCGTCGAGAGAGTTCACGGTAGGTTGTCCCAAGGCATTGAAACGAGACGAGTCATTGGATAAATGCTGGTTTTGTCCCGCCCATCGGATGCTCATCATCTCTGGGAGTCTATGGACAGTGGCCGTTTATGGGCTGGCCCGGACGCTCAGCTTTTCTGCATGATGATTGGATGATCTGTCTGAGGCTGAATCTCTTTTTGATTGACAGCGAAATGAGCCAATCACCGATCTTTTGGTGTCGGCATCCATGGGAGCATTTTTCAATTCTCATTCTGTTCTGAGTTGAACTGGAGACTTCTTCTCATAATCTTAGCGACACTCTCTTTGTTGAAAACGATGAGCGACAGATTAATATTTTATTTCTGGTGTGTTTTATTGTAGTTGCTTGTGTTCGCAGACTGACTTATATCACCACAGTTAAGACCCTGGAAAAGACGCCTTGTTGGTATGACAGGGTCACAGATTATTTTCTTGAAAAGGAACGGAGAGTAGAATTCACGTATAAAAAAACGGACACATTTTATGATGTCGGCCGAAATTGAGCTTCCCCTCCTTGACAGACCTGCACCCTCCACTGGTCCACAGCCATAGTTGTAGTCACTGGTTAACGTCGGTGCCCCGATGCGTTGAAGAAGGAAACAGATGTGAAGTGGCGTCTGCTAGTTTACTTCTGCAGGAAGTGGTACCTGTGGTATGAGTCTTGAAATTGAGGCTTGTCCATATTTAGGCAGGGCTCGGTGCCTTGTCAACAGAGATAGCAACTTGAGGAGGGATTCGCCTCCTCTCTTCTCCTCCTCCTTCCTTCCTTCTCTGTGTCCCATAACACAGCGTGCAAGCATGATGCGAGTCATTCTTAGTTCAACCAGAGTTGCATTTTGCTGATCTGTATGTTAACAAGAGAAAAGTTGTACGAGAGCTCAATGTAAGCGATTGAAATCGCCGGCAACAAGATGAGCGAGGCCCTCCGGGGTAGTTCCGGAGAGACGTGCTCTTTGTCACTCAGCAGCACGCAGTCCAGCAAACTGAAGCCGCATTCAGCATCTGCCTCGCCTTGTGGATCGCCAAGGATGTCACCCTGTGACTCTCCGCGCCACTCTCCACTGCTTTTCCGCAAGCTCCTGGTGAACCGCAGCATTGCCTTGCAAAGACGCTTTACATTGGCACACACTCCCAGGTATTGTCATAAAATAAAAATGTGATCAACTCTTTTTTTTTTTTTTTTTAATCTTGCCAAATATCCTACAGTATCAAATATCCAAATTACACCGTCCAAATGATTGTCTTTGCTTTGTGCTCTGCACAAAAAAGACCTATTGTTTGAATATGAAGTGTTGTTGGAGGATTGTTGCATTGTGCTTTTGGAAGTGGCATCTTGGTGTTTTGTAGATAGGGAAGGTCACGTCATTTGGTATCGAAGAAGTTACAGTATCTTAAGAAGCTAGATTTCTAGATCGCTCACGAAGTTTGTATGTCACAAATCTTAACATGTCGATTGTTTTCTAATCGGACAACTACTGTGTCTGATCAAAATAGTTGGTCAATGATTTCTTGCACCTCTGGAAAACCATTCTAGACGTATTAAATTAGCGCGATGTGTCTATCCAAAGTGGTTGTAGGTGCAGTAAAAAAAAAAACAAAAAAAATCTGTCATACTACCTTTGCGCTCACCTTAATGTGCTGTTCTTGATAATATGATGATTTTTTTACGTATGTAGTTGGTTACAACAAAGGGGGGGGGGATTGGAGCTGAAGAAAGATTCCTGTCTTTTCATAAAATCCCTGTCCTGTAAACACCATCTTGACGCTGACTTTTTTGCAGACATTATTTTACAGACTGATCTACTGAGATGGTGGGGAAAAATGTTTGTACAAATACAACAGTATATGATGATTTATACTCAACTTTATGACTTGTTTGCACTCCAATCATTTGTCGAAAAGATGTGACTTGATTGCACTGATTCTTGACAGAACGCGGTAACAGCTGTTGGTCCTTTTTCATTCCCACAACCTGTTTTCCTCAGGTTGAATAGTTCTGTCTTAATGTACTGCAGCTGTAATCTTGTGGTTTTCCATTGTCAACAAATACTGTTGATAACCTAATGGAAAATAGGCTGGCAACTATTTTTCTTTTTATTCCTCGGTGCAGGAACCTTTTTGATTTTGTTGTTCTCGCGTGGCCAGTTTTGTCGTCTGAATTCAAGTTGACAATGCATTTGTCAATTTTCATTTAGGTTGTTATAATGCTGTCTGCTTGGGGTGTTACTTAAGCTATAGTGAATTGCGTGAAATGTGAAATAAGATGTGATGTGTGTCTTTGGAGTTGGGATGTTACGATAACGGCAATTTTGCAATATGGCAATATTAAACAATTTCTATGGCAACTAACTTTCGGTTTGCACAACAACAATTCACAAGCCGCATTGATCCACCAGCATTGCACCTTTTGGATACAATGCGGTGCAGGATTCTAGTTAAGGTAAGCCGTTTTAAGATTATAAGAACAACTTTAACATAGTTATTAGCTGACGTTTCGTCATCCTAGTCCTTGTCCGCTGCTGCGGTGCAGAACGCTATCCACTCGCTTGAATTTATGTGCACAAGTTGTTTACTTTCCTTGTACTGCCTGCACTGGCCCCAGGGTTTTTTTCCTTTCTTTTCTATTTGTTTTTTTTTTGTTTGTTTTTTTCAAAATGGCACATTTAAGCAACTCTCTGAGTTTCTTAATGGTCTCTGTGAAGCGGCGCGCTGAGAGCGTATTTCTGAGCATACCTATGATGAGGGGACGGGGATTTTGGGCATGATGAGCTTGAGGGCGCATTAGGAATTACTCTCCGAGCGTGCACTGCTTCAAGCTGACCATTTGGAAACTCGGAGCATTGTTCAAAGATGCTGGTCGGTTAATCCATGCACCAGAACAGCATGACGGTGCGTGCTGTAAGCTCTAACTGCGGACCACAGTATACCAGTGTGGCAGGCAGTCCAGACGAAAACGGTTAACGCCCGAGCTGCTGATTGGTTTAGAACAGAGGTGCGAGTGTCCGGTCCTTGAGAACCCCTATCCAGCCTGTTTTACGTTGCCCTCCTCCAACACAACTGATTCAAATGATCAGCTCGTCGTCAAGCTTCGCAGAAGCCTGATATCGATCAATCTCAGAGTAGTGCATTTGCCAACACGGCCCGAATCATTCACGGTCTTGGTTTTTGTAAAACAAATTTCCCCTCCAAAAAACGAAAATTTTTGATTGTTCTGACTTAGAATGAAGAAAAATAGCAAGAAACCCCGTAAAATATCAAGTTAAAACCACAATAGATTAAGCTATGGTCACGAATGAAAACCCGCGATAGAGTGATGCTGCGATAACCGACCCGCTAAGTAGCAATGGATCCCTGTATGCTAACTGGTCCCACGCTCATATTTTGGTAGACACAACAAAAATTTTAGGTTGATCAGATACAATTTGAATCAATAAACACTTAAGGTATTTATAATATTCAGATATTTGGTTTTAAATGTTGAGTTTGATGATCAAAACTTATCCTAACTCTTACAGGATTCTAAAAAAAAAAGTGCATTGACTTTGAGCTTGTACGTTTTAGCATATTGATTGATAAACACAAAACGATGATGTTGATCTAAAATTTTAGGATGAAGATCTTAAATGTTTCATGTTAATCTCACAAAATTTTGTAGAACTGAGTGCTGTCTATGAATTGCAAAATATTTCAACAAGAAGACTACTGGTAATCTCAAAATGACTTATTCCCAACTTCAATTTCTGGTCCATACTATTCAGTTACACAAAAAATATGTGGTGTAAATGGGTTTTGTTTATTCATTTTATCAAACAGCTTCTGTTGTTTATGCTTACGCTTGTCATTTTGTCCCACGCAACAGTAGTGATCAATACTTGCAGTAGTATTTCAGTGTTTTGATTGCATGTCTCAACAAGAACTGGGCTGTGCCAGCTCTCTGCTTCTTGTTTACCTGACATAAAAACACCCTCCGGATGTGCAGTTGAGTCGAATCTCCATGTGCCAAGGTGAAACACTGAAAGTTGCTCTGTTGCGATCAAAATGCCGGCGCGTTCTACGTCTTCAAATGTTCGCCACTCTCATAGCCTCTAGGTCAGTGTATTAGCATTTTCGTCATTGCAAAGTGCGGCTTAAAAGATAATCCCCTGTAACTTGATGCCAAGTCATTGAGGGCTGGCGTGTTTGCCGTGGTACTGGATACCCTGTAAATGTACAGACTCATTGACAGCCCCCCCTGATGACTCCACGGGCAGTCCGCAACAGCAAGCTGCGGGGACTGTCCAAGCACATTGCTAGACGAAGAGGTGAACCTTTCTGGACATTACGTACCCTTCAAGAGCAACAATTGAAACCTTCTTTCACAAGAGACTTAGAGAGCAATTGCATGACAAAGCATTTTTTTTGTCTGTGTTTTTTTTTTCCTCTTTGTTTGTTGACCACAATATACTTGATATGGCAATGGCTGCTAAGCACGAACTCACTCGCTATGAGTGAAGGTGGGAAAAATCCTTCACTGCTCCTAAATACTTCGTGACTTCCCTTTGGAACGACAAATTGACGTTCACACGCCAGCTCGGCTTGTCTTGGCTTGTCTCACTGGATCATCTGTTAAGCATTCTTCAGAATTTTTTTTTTTCTAGCCTCCTGAGGCCCTGAGGATTAATCAGAGCTTGCATCTGCTTGCATTACTTTTGTTTTTCTTTCTCACCTGTTTGGGTTGGCGGACAAGAGGGAAAAAAAAAAAGTCATGGAGTCAGTCCACACCCATCCGCTGGTTCATCAATGAAAATAACAACACGAGTGCAAGAATTTTCATTAGAGCCTTGCTTCAGATGTACAGTTTACTGTCATTGCAGCCTAGAGTGTGATTTCAGGGTCGAGTGGGACGATGAACAAAGACTCTAGATTGTCAAGGAAAGGGGCGCCAGCAGGTTTTGGACACGGTCGACGGCATTCGTGCTTGGGGTAGGTTTTCAGTTTTGTTGGCTTATTCAGAGTGAGAGTTTGCTTCGTGAGATGATTCACTGATTGATAGTAAAACACAAGGGCAATGATGCTTGGTTGCTATTTTAGCAAAACTGCCAGTCGTGCATTCATTGGCCAGTGGATGAGGTCTTATCCCACATGAAACACCGGCACATTGAAATCCGCATTTCTTCACCTTTTTTTTAAAGCGCGTCAGATTTGATTCACCATTCACTGATTGGCTCTTCATTTTAAAAACAGTTGGGTCAAAAATAACCCAACATGGGTCAAAAAGGGGACGACACATCTTAATATTTTCGACCCAATGGCTTTTAGAGTGTTGTTGAAATTTCCACATGGGAGTTAACGTGAACATAACTCGCATTCCTAAAGAAGGAAGGTTTAAGTGCTGTGTCGTCAAACTGAAGTATTCTAATTGATGGGTGTGGCAAATGTTTGCCTCAGGGACTTTCATCATGCTGTCATCTGAATAGATTGTGAGTTGTGTTTTGAAAATAAAGTTCAAAAATATAAGTATCGTTTAATATGGTGTGTGAGACGCACTAGTTCCTGAGATGTGTTAAGTTGTGTCATCACTCTTTTATGTTTGCGCATGTTTCAGTAAGTGTTCCTGTTTTGCAGTCTTTTGACAAATGTGGTGCCATGAAATATACTCTGTTACTGCCGAAACTAATTACACTGCTTAAGTGGTAGAAATGTTTGCACGCAAACATCTTAAACAAAGATAAATGAATACTGAGCACAGTTTACATTGCAAGACTGTTGGATTTGTCAACCAAGCATTTTCCTGTAAGAGAGCGTGTGCATGTGTTTAAGATTGTAACCGGAATGTGGCCATTCAGTCTGTCACATACGTTTTATTAGACGCTGGTACGGAGAATATTGATGAATGGTTGCCGTCCACGTAAGCTCTTGTAACATAAGCACATGCGCCATTGTTTATGTCTCCATAGCCTCTGTGTTTACATGTGTTGAAGTCTGTATTGCGAGTTCATGCCGGGTTCTATTCCCAGTCAGGGTGGGATTATTGGGCTTTCTGCTCGACCGCTGGGTCAGCTACCGCACACATCCAAACTTGAGCACAAACATATGCTACAAGCAATGGGCCGCTGTCATTACATAAGTTGTACACTATGGCATTTTAATTGCCATTTCATGTCGAAGCATGACAATTTGACGTGCGCATCCATGTTTCAGTATGTGTTACATGAAATACTGTACAAGCATTGTCGTAATAAAAATGAGGAAGTGTACTTTTTGTAGACTCCTTTTTACTGAACTCAGATTAAATGAGGAGGTGGTTAGGACATCCACGTCACAGTTCTGATGCCCTGGGTTTGAATCTGGTCTTTCTCTGTGGAATTTGTAGGTTCTTCCCACGCCCACATGGGGTTTTTCTCTGAGTACCGTTTCACATTCCAAGAACGAGCATGCCAAGATCACTGAAGACTCAAATTTGTCCTTAAGCGTGAGAGTGAATGTTTGTTTGTCTACATGTGCCCTACGATTGACTGGCGACTTGTCCAGGGTGTACGTCGAATATGGATGGCTAACTTGAACACCTTGCAAGCACCTAACTGATGAGTCTCATTTCAGGTTTTTGAAAAATAGCCAACATTTTTATGAGGTTATGAAGCCCAAATAATTTAAACTTGCTTATAATCTTGGGAAAGTGAACCCTATCCTGTCTTCAATATTTCATCCAGTGCACTCTAAGATACTCTGACCCAGCAGCTGTAGCCAGTGCTACTCAGAGTAGGAGTGGTAAAGGGGGAAACAATAATACAACAGACCCCCAAAATAAACCTTCATGCTTGGAATAGTTCCTCAGCCCCGCCGGCCTGGCAGCTCATTACACGTGAATGTGACATGTGTTTCTTGTTTTACACACGCAGGGTCTCTGTCACCCTTCCCAAACCCGTATGAATTGTGCCATATATGGTTCCTGCACAATGCCCAATATTTCTCTTTTGTGTGTTTCACGAATCTGTCAAATAGAGGACAGGCTTCAATGAGTATCGCTCATCAGGAAAGTTCAGGTTAGACTGCAATGTGTCTCGCGTCCTGTAATCTAAACTAGTTCTGTTTGGCTGTCGGTGGAGTGTCATAAATTTCGCTCACAATTTTCTTTGCTTAGAGCGACATCTGCTGGTAAGTCAGTGCATTCTTATTAGCATGTTCAATACAGCGTCGAGGTTGACTCAGTCAAAGTACAGCAGACAACAGTTGACTTATAGGTTGCTTGTTCTAAGGGAAGTATGTGATAAGTCTCGGACACCAGCAGTTCATGGCTACATTCACACTCAAGGAAGGTTGATGTTGAGTCGTATTAAATGTTGGATTGGAATTGATACTCAAATGTGATGCCCTCAAAGAGCCTCATTTCCCCAAATGTGTGAAATTATCAGTGCGCCTGTTGAGAGCGGATGAATATAAATTACTGTACTAGTATTATTACGGTATGTGTACACTTTTTAAGATGATGCACGTTATATTTCATTGGCTTTCATTTTCTTTGTAATGTGTCTTATCTTGCTTGGGCAATGGCAGGTACTTAAAATACATTGGCCAGCCACACTATTATGACCACTTGCACAGAATAATACGTGATGCATGAGCTGTATCAAATATTCTGCCTCTTGGATAGTGATGCCGGATTTTGATTGACGCTGCGAAATCGGTATTAATGTCATAAATCTCTGTTTTTTAATTGTGGTTGTAGTTTGCAGCATTTGTGGAACTGTACTTTATCTCTGTAATATATAACTGTCTCTTGTATCTAATTAAAATTTCACATTTATTAGACCAGGGGTGGCCCGGTGGTCCAGTGGTTAGCGCATCGGCCTCACAATGCAGAGGTATCGGGTTTGATTCCAGCTCCGGCCTCCCTGTGTGGAGTTTGCATGTTCTCCCCGGTCTTGCGTGGGTTTTTTCCGGGTACTCCGGCTTCCTCCCACATTCCAAAAACATGCTTGGCAGGCTGATTGAACATTCTAAATTGTCCCTAGGTGTGAGTGTGGATGTTTGTTTGTCTATGTGTGCCCTGCAATTGGCTGGCAACCGGTTCAGGGTGTCCCCGGCCTACTGCCCGAAGACGACTGGCATAGGCTCCAGCACCCCCCGCGACCCTTGTGAGGATAAGCGGATCGGAAAATGGATGGATGGATGGATTTATTAGACCAAGGGTAGAGAGCCATGTCCTGCCTATTTTAGATTTCTCTCTACTCCAACACACCTGATTCGATTGATCATGATTTTTTCAGGCTTCCGCAGAGCTTGCCAATGAGCTGATCATTTGAATCGAGTGTGTTGAAGAAGACAGAGCTCTAAAACAGGCAGAATATGGCTCTCGAGCCTAACTTCTGTATTAGTGACAGCAATCATTATAATTTAGTGTAGTTCTATACCGCTGTACAATTACAACCATAATAATAAACATATTGTTGATAGCTCCATGAAAGAAGATAATTGTGTTTATAAGAATGGGATTATGGGATTTTTGATTCTGCTCTTGTGTTGGATATCATGATGTCTAGTCTGGATGTACAAGTATAAGTACAGTCCAGCACAGCACCGGTAACAGTGCAATGCCATATGCCATAACTCTGTTTCTCCACAAGGTGGCAAACAAAATCCGTATATATCTTAACGGTGACTTTCACCTCACGCCACCTTGTACAAGACTGCTCTGTAAGTGTAGTTGCGTTATATTTAAATGCACTTATTCGAAAAAATGAGAAATAGTCTGCACAGGAAAATAATAATACCATAAAATAAATGCTCATGACTTAAATTCAGACTGCAACTCATTTCTGCGCATTAACATTTATAATGTTTTGAAGCAATGGGTTGTCATCATACCTGTTGAAGAACAACATACAGTGTGTACCATCGAGTTAAATGACTTAACTTGATTCACAGCTATTCATTATAAATCATTCAGTCTTGTTTTATGTACACTAATGTATTTTTTTTTGTTATCACAAAATAGAAAATACTATGTAAAGCAAAATACTACATACTCAGACTATGAGTACCCTGTGGTATCATATAGACATGATCTTTTGTTCTTTAAACAAAGTCACTGGACTTTGGAAGACCAAGTCTCGTCTCAGTACACACATTTTAAAGATATTTATGTTGGGAAATGGGTATTCTGTCCTGAATTCTAAATAGACAAATGTTTATAATACAGGAAATATAAAAAATAACCTTTTCACTGATAACAGTGGAATTTTATGAAGTAGACGCTGACACCTACACCAAACATACACTTGCACATAAATCATACTTGCCCGTCACAGCTTATTCTCATTAGTAGAGTTAATGTTGTCACAGGAGCCATCAGCCAGCTGGGCTTCAGCAGCCATTTGGCAGCTGGATTCAGTTACATGGTGGCCTCACAAACACCTCATTCTCATCTCGCATCCATCCCGGCATCTGTTTCGGGGCTTTCTTGTGTAATCTGTTTTTGAACTACAGTAAATATTATACAGGACAATTTTATTTTGGCAGGCAACATGGCGAGCTAGTGTTGAGCATATCTCCCTCACACTACGGAGTTTCAGAGTTTGAATCTTGACTCCAGCTTTCTTGTGTGGAGTTTGCATGTGCTCCCTGTGCTTCCATTAGTTTTCTTCAGGTATTCCCGTTTCCACACGCGTTCCAACAAACAGGAATGTTTGCTTAATTGAAAGCTCTAAATTGTCAAAAGGTGTGATGTGAGACATTGTTTTTCTGTACTCTATGTGCCTGGCCATAGGCTGGCAACCAGGAAAGGGTCAGATGTACCCTGCCTCTCCGCTGTCAGATGGCATAGGCTACAGAATAAGTCACCCGCGACCCTAATGATGAGTGCTAATGAAATCACTGAGTATTTTATTTGTTCGGTCAGTTGGGAAATAAATATTTGGTATTACTGATTGAATGTAATGCACTTTCTGTATTGGACCTCATTAACTTTTATTTGAGGATGCCGA